CCCCCCCCCCCCCCCCCCCCCCTCAGGGGGAAAACATTGATAGGTGCTTTAGAGAGGGGGGCTTATTAGAGAGGGGTCATTATTTCTCTAATTGTTTTGAGTTATGTTAACAGCAAAAGAAAAGATCCCACAGAAAATTTTGGAGAGGAAGAACCAAGCCTAGGTAAGGACTAGTGTTGTAAAGAGTTTGAGTATGGCTGACATTTCTGTCCACTTCCTGAACTGATGAAGATGTTTAAGAGGTTTTTTGTATATTATGTAGTACATGCTCAAAACCAACAAGTATAATCAGGGCGCTTATATAATTATATAAGTGCCCTGAGTATATACCACTTGCTTATGACCACATTTTAAATTTTTCATTTTTCTCAATTGACAAATTAACTTAAAAAGTCTGTTTAGTGTTTTATCTGTAAAATTATACTAAAATGTGTGAAGCCTCTTACTACACTTCACTGAATCTTGCTACTCAAAAATTAATTTCTGAATGTCCCATTCTCTGTTAAGTTGACAGTGCCCAGTATTCTTGGGTTTCAATCACATAATATTTTAGAGCATAATTTGACTCAAGTGGGATCAATAATTGAATTGATGTCAACCAAAACAACAAAGAAACAAAATGTTAGTTCTTTAAATATTGGTTCTGTCTGTATATTTCCATATATATATATATATTGAAAATCATTTTAGTGGACAAAAGCCGTGAATTTCTCTTGAACTTGAGATTCTTCAGAACATTTATTGGCATCTGGAATGTTGCAATGATGATATGTATGATCATGTGAGTACTGGATTAAAATGATTTGATATTTCAGTGAGTACTGGATTAAAATGATTTGATATATCAGTGAGTACTGGATTAAAATGATTTGATATATCAGTGAGTACTGGATTAAAATGATTTGATATATCAGTTGTTGATGAATTGCAATCTAACAGGTATATATAATGTTGAAAGGTTTTTGTAGATGGAAATTTTGAGTGCACATTTTTTAATATACATTCTTAGACCTAACCAGAGGTAGCAGCGAAAAATGCAACTATAGACTATAGGCTTTAAATTTATACATGTAGTTGTGTTTTTTGCAGCTGCTCCTGGTTTGGTTTAGAAATATATAAAAAGATTCCACTCCAAATTTCCATCTACAAAAACCATTCAACATTTAGTACTATCAAGTGAGATGCCCCAAATCCTGATATTTATCCTATTCTAATCTGATTTGTTTTCCATTTTTCAGTTTTTTTGGTTCATGAAGGTCACAGCATTTGTAGTATGGAATTCTTCTCAAACATGTGAAAGAATATGATGGAACAGAATATAATATGTACAGTGATATTTTAGTTTTAAATTTATAAATATTATTTAGAGAATTTGACTGTAGTACACATTTACAATATTTTAATGGCGCATATTAATGACTGATGAAGTATGACTGTTTGTTCAAAATAGCAATTATAACTGAGTGTGCAACATAACTATTATTTGCCTTTATTCATGTACGTCGTATTGTAATTCTAAAACTAGTAGGCCACTGAACCCATAAAAGGTTGCTGCATGTATTTGCAGGTATAGTTATACCTGCAGCAACCTCGTTTCCAGGCTCTTTCCTACCAGCAGTGGTTGCTGTAATTAATATGTAAAATATTTAATTTCTGGAAATATTCGTATCATATTAATACGGTAGGAGTTATTTCGCTGACCTCAGAATGACATTTTGTCAAAACTTTTTTCTTCAAGATTGGTTTAGAAACAAACTTGGAGTTGGGTTATGGTTGGGTTAGAGTTGTTGTTTGGAATAGGGTTAGTGTTAATTAAAACCGTTGCTTTGTTATGTTTTGTCACTCTGAGGCCAGCGAAATAACCTACTAATAAATTGACATTCATACACCTGTATAGCAATAAACTTGGGGGTGTAGTTTAGATACACAGATCTTTATTTATACTGAAAGCACATTTCACTGTTGCATGATAATTATACTGTATACCCTTTACTGTTTATTGCAATTTTGCCCCTATGACCTCGTTTCCATGTTTGTCTGTGTTTCCATGGCACGCGCACGTGAAGGTTTCGTGTACGAATATATTTCTCTTTGATGTTGAGCTCAATCAAAATAAAGTGACTGCTTCGCAGGCTAAATCAAGGGCCTATCCTCAATCAAAATAAAGTGACTGCTACGCAGGCTAAATCAAGGGCCTATCCTTGAACCTATTGTGCACGAAAGATGAGGAAATAACCGCATGAAAACGAGGCCATGGGACAAGAGTGCATAAACAGTTTAGTTCATTTAGGGGCGCTTCCCAAAATGTCGAAATATAAAGTTAGTGATAGACAACATACACAATATCTTTAGCCTTTAATGCGGGATCTCCAACCACGAGTAATTATAAATTAACTTTATTTTGCCGTGACTTTTTATTTTGCGCTCAGACTAGTTAATTTCGTTTTGCCGTGAGTTAAATTTATTTTCCCGTGATTTTATTTTGCCGTGGCTCAGTTACTTTCGCTGTGACACTTGTGGGCCACATTAATATTTTATAGCACCTGGGGACGAGGCAGCTCGACGATTGCCCAAACACTTCCAAGCTTGGTGAGATAAACGGATCACTTCATTTAGCCAATCATATAGCCTAGATCACTTCATTTAGCCAATCTTTTTTGGATCGTGATCTGATTGGTTAAAATGAAGGCGGACCAGAAAGTAGACGGGTACCTACAAAATGGCGAAATAGCTGGAATCCTGGCGTGAAACTAAGTAAACTTTAGAACTTAAAATAGTTTAATTTACGTTTTAATAATTTAAAACTAATAATTTAATATGACATAAACACGTAGTAAAAATACATTTTTATAAGTTAGATAAAAAGCACAAAACACACTGCTAAATTGATCGGTAAATTTACAGAAGATCTGTAAGGGTTTAAAATTACAAATAAAATTTTTAAAAAGAAAAGTACCCCATCAGTCCATACTTCCCGACTCTAGTATGTTAGCGTTTAGGCTAGATTTCGGCTAAACCCAACGTTATCGTCAGAGGCGGGTGAATAGGTGGCTTACCAAAAGATGAAGGCGAAGTGAAATCCACACCGTCAATTAACCAAGAGGTCCCGCCGTTGGTTTCTAGTAAATTAAGACACGAGAGTTACAAAGCTTTAATAATTTGTAGTTTTGTACTGTTTTGTTTCCTTTTTTGACGATAGTTGATGCGAAAATATTCTTGTCTAAAGCTTGCTTCAATCGTCAAAAGAGGAAAGTTCTTAGTTTGGGTTTATATTTTTACCTCCGCCAGGAGGTTATGTAATCATCTGGGTTTGTATGTTTACCTCCGCCAGGAGGTTATGTAATCATCTGGGTTTGTATGTTTACCTCCGCCAGGAGGTTATGTAATCATCTGGGTTTGTATGTGTGTGTGTGTGTGTGCATGTGTGTGTATATGTGTGTGTTTGTCTGTGAGCACGATAACTCAAGAAATACGAAACATATCCGTACGAAATTTTGTGAGTGCATTTCCCATCGGCTAAGGAAGAACTGATTAAAATTTGGTTGAATTTGGTTAAAAATTGAACGAGAAATGAACAAAATT